TGAATTTTATATCAAATAGTTGGAAATAGTTGTAGAAAATCTAAGTGAAATAGACTAAGTGAGACATTAACATAAAATAATCATGATCTAACATCATTGATTAAGTTATTATATTAGTTTGGGTTTCTTGTTCAAAAATTTAACATATCGTCTCAAAAATTTAAATATGAAGCTAAACAAATATTTTTGCTTTGTATAATAGATTTTTGCACTTTCACATAATATCAAGTAGTATCAAAGCTAGAAAAATATTATTAAAATTTATATTTAAAATATAGTGTTTATTGGTGTTTAACTAACCATTTTTTAATGAAAGTTTGATAAAATATTTTTTATTTGAGTAATTTATACATTTTGATTTAAATACTCATATAGGAGATAAGTATTTGATGGAGGTTTGTATGATAGATTGTTTTATTTATTACGAGCAACATGTCAAAATTGATGTGCATAGATTCGTACATCTCATGTGTCAGAAAAAAACAAACTTTTCGTGGAATCATATTCTGAAATGTCATGACTATTGCAATTTTACTAATCAAACACCTATGAGAAATTCCAACTATACCTATGATGTTGGGTAGTAACTTTCACAATATATTTAATTATTTTATGGTACAATTTCACCAAATATAAGATGAATCATAAGTATGAATTTTTTTCAAAGTAGACTTTCAACACTTTGTCGGAATTTCATTAGATATTCTACTTCTATTTTGGGTATTCCACGTGCTTTTATCCCTGCCATAGTGGTTTGGGTTGTTGTAAAATGGTTTGGTTTGGTGTAGCGTAGTCTATGGTGCAGATGAGTGTCTACTTAGAAGCTAAGTGCTTTTGTAAATGTCGTTGAGTAGAACTATCAAAGGCTTTCCACATACATGAGGTGTTTTATATAGAGTCAACCTCAACACCTCATGGAAGGAGTTGTCAACACAAAACACGTATAGGGATACTGTATGATACTGGAGAATTTGTATCAGATTTTCCAACGAGATTCTGCATTCAAAGGAAAACGGGCACTGAAAAACTAGTTTTTTTCCGAAACCTTCAGAACATGTTAAGACTCAATACTCATGAAATTCTGCCCTATCGTGATATCCAAGACTCAGGAGAGGGCTGATATCTCGTGCAAGTTAGCTATCAATTCTTCATAAGGTTTTTCTTCTTACACGTCACTTTATTACTTTTTAAATTTATTCTTCGTGAGACCCGATAAAAGTGAATCTTTTCTGATCTCATGAAAAGCCTAAGTTGAAAATAGACTCACTGTAAGTTGGACATGTACATTTTTGATATACAGATTATAACTCACGAGAGTAAATGAGAATCATTTCACCTGGTACAAGAATAAATCCATGCTAAGCGAACGAAACAAAGTTTCATGGTTGAATTACCATGCGGTTTCGCGCGAGTGTCTAATCTAGATATGATTGTGCATCTTGCTGTGTAACGAGAATGATTGCATGGTGGCGCTGCGCACTCCTTTGGTAATGGGACGATACCTTTACAACGCCACACTACATGGTGTCATTAGTCATGGGCTGAAGTATTCCGACATGGGCACACGTACGTTCTTAACCTGTAAATTCTATCACTCCAAACCGCGGTGGTTCGAACCCGCGGGATCTCGCTCCGCTCTCTTGTCAAGATTTCTGAAACGAACCCACGCTCCGACCGGAGACGCGTACTGGCCCAAGTTCACGACTCATCCAAATTTAGAGGCACTCCTATTTGCCGCTGTTCCACTCCACTTCAGCACCGCCTCCTTTGACCATGACTGGGACGAGATCGCAGCAACATCGTGCGATTCAGTGAGATTGTAGATCCCAGATCTGTGCCAGTTGTCCGACGATTGACAGGGGACTTGAAGGCCATCTCATCCGTGGAAACCCTGTCCGCAAGTAACCTGCGTGAGACGCTGAACCGCGGTTGGCATCGGGTTGACTGGCGAAGGCTCCTGGCGGGTGAGCCGGCCGATCCCGCCCTCCAGCTTTGCGCGTTATATATTAATTTACTGTACCCGCGACTCATGTCCCTCTCTTCGTGCCTGATGTTGTGCAGTTCCATCTTCCTCCAGAGAGGCACCGGACTTCGAATGCTGCGGACACTTGCGGTGGCGAATTAATTATTGATTCTAGAGCTCTGCCTCGTTCAAATATACGGAGGCTGTGCACTGCAGAGAGCGAGCGAGAGAGAGTGTAAATCGCGCGGAAATAAATTCTCCATCTGCCGGTGCCCTCGTTTTCTGGAGCGGCAGTTGGGATTGTTCGAGGCTTGGAGAAGAAGTTTAACCCTCGTGGATTCAGAAGAGCGAACATCGAGAACGCGGGATAAGGGTGCCGGAAGTTGCCCAGTAGTACGTACGAAAAGAACTTTCTCTAGAGCAGACGGCATGACTTTGGAGGATTTCTGGGAGAAGCTTAAACACTAAGATTCCGCTTAGAGGTTGGCGAGGAAGAGCGGGAGTTGTCAAGTTGTCACAGCGAGTGGTGAAGCGAGGTCTTCGCCATCGAGAGTTTCTATTTACTATAATTCTTTTACACGAAGAATTCCGTTATAAGAAAAAGTAGGAAACTCATGGAACGAGATCGCCTACCCTTTTTGGGGTTTACAGGCAGGAGGGGATCACCCACAACGGGCTAGTCAGGTCTGCAAGAAATTCAAGAACATGAGCTCCAAGAAAGGCCAAGGAGAGGCTTGGTAAAACTTGTCGTAATCTAAATTCATAAGAAAAGAGTAGTACCGCCGCCACCTATTCTGGACAAATGTCCCTAACCTGATTACGGCCATACTGGGGTGTGTGTAAGCAGGTCCTCATTCAATCCCATCCAGTATCAATCCTAAAGTCGACGTTCCCAACTGACTTTCAAATTTGTTTTGATACGATTCAGAGTTTTGACATGGTGACTTTGCAAGCAGTTTGCAAGTCGGTGATGTTGAGCAAACAGCACGTTAGTTGCATCTTTGTCTGAATGGTCGACCGTCAACCAGCGGCGGCCGAGCGAGGTAAATGTGTAGCCGGATAACATAGAAATGGCCAACACGTTCCAGGAGCATGGAGATATCGTACGTCTTTCTCTATCAGTGACGTTTCCAGGTTATGATGCCCTCTGCATAATGACAATGAACCACTAACGCCGGGAAAAAGTTTTGAATGGAGCATTTGTACTTGGTTTGCGGATATCTAGATTGTGATGCTCTTTTCCCACAACTAAAAGTAGCTCATGTCATCACCACGAGGAAGAATCGTTGCTACCATCGAATATTCATAAGCTGATAACAACATCCTTTTGAACACTTTAGATACCACCTTTCCCGAGATCGTAATATCCACTAAAGGATTCGAAAGGTGAACTCGAAAACTGTAAGATTCAAAATTATCGCCTCTACGGCTGCTAATGTACTGCTGCCAAGCAATCATTCTCTTGGACCTTTGATAGAATAAGTCGTAAAGGGACCACCTTATCCTTGGCCGGTCAAACCATTTTTCGATCACATTCATGAGCCGTATTGTACTCTCCTGCTTCACCGAATTACAACCAACTTCTACAACTTCTAGAGACGCTAGATTACGTGATCGGCATGTAGACTAATGGACTAGGATCACTCTGTGTTTCGGAGCAAGAAGCCAACTAACCCTCTCTCCACACAGCATTTCTCCTTCGCCGTTCTCCAGAAGTGCAAGAAAATAGTTGTCCTCAAAGTTCTCTCTATCGGTTTCATGTCTCAACAGAAAGCACCAACAATTCACAGGCTTGGAAGTTACTCTTCGACTCCGGCCAGCTTTTAGCCTCGCTCTTATAGGTAAAATGGCAATCAACAAGACTGCGTTGAGAACGTCTACTAGATTAGGATGAGTCCACTCTTGCTGAATCCAAAGCCATCACCACAATATCGGGTTCACCTCGTAGAGCTGACAAGGATGGATGCATTGAGTTAACTTCTTCAAAATAATGACGAAATTCTCATGGTGTAATTACCATGACAGAATTTTTAGCATAAAACTGTGCTCGTGTCTGCTGCTGTTTTCATCTGGAAGACCAATGTCCCCGCTCCTTGCAGGTGCTATGAGAAGACTCCGGGTGAGCGGAAAATGATAACTTTTTAACTTTCAAAAGACTATATGTACTTGTGAGGGAGTTCGTTCCGTGAGAGAAAAAGCCAAATACGAAGGCCAGACAAGAACCTTCAGGTAATATTAACGTGTACTGTACTAGATAAAAAATCTCATCGGCAGGCCTTGATAAAAGACCTAATTCCACAGAACTTCAACTCCGTGACAACTCTGCTCTTCTCGAATGTTGCATACTTTCCGACAAAGGTTAGAGATTTCGAGCCGTCCGAGCAGTGACAATCACCAGTGGAACTGGACTTTGCAAACACAAGGTATTTGTAGAACAGAGAACAGAGCCCATCACAACGAAGGGAGGACACGAATGCAACTTGTAGAAGCAGAGAAGTCATTGATAAGGACAGGTAGACGGTTGCTATATTACACGAACGGTAGGAAAGGATTACCGCTTGGCGTCCTGTGTAAGAAATTCGATTCGTACGTACATTCTTAGCGTATGTAGATTTACCACGAGTCATCTGTCGACGAACAGGTTTTAGCTTCATGAAAATACTGTGCGCGACACCGTGACATTGTTCCATCCATATTTATGTATCCAATAAAATATCCAGCTTATCCATCGGCAGATTTGTACATTCACGAGTCCTCTGGCAAGGCACTTTCTTCAAAATAATGCCCATCTGACGTCCACAATTACCATGCATCCGTCACAATAGAATCTAGATATTGCTAGTTCGTCCAGATAGCACAGAAATCAGGTTGCAGATCAAGGAGCTTCCATCATTCACTGGACAAATTGTTACTCATTAGCATGTGCCAGTCATAGCGTAGAAAACATGAAGGTATAAGTCAAATCACTGGACAGATAATCAACGTAATATATCACATTCGAAATCAAGATACAAGAATGACATCTACTCCCATATATGGATCAAAATTCTTCTTTACTAAAGACTTCAGCGTGAGGAAATAAATTTCAGTTCGGAAAAATCTTCGAAAGTAGTGCTCACTTACAACACACCAGTTTCTGTCGGGTCTCGACAGTACTCTTCAACTACATGCACAGCTGTTGAGCACAAGCTGAATCCTGGAATGATTGTCCGAGTCAAGAACATAATGATGGGAAACGACCGTGGCAAGCAAATACTGCAATTTTCCTCTAGAGATTACAGTCCAAAGTCGGCTACAGAAGTCTGTGGTGCAAGACTTCCTACAGTTATAAAACCCATCTGAGATGTCCGACACCTAACTTAAGCTACTGGTTTGGATTCAACGGGAGACCTTTCTGCGATTCAGATGTCAAACCACAAACTCAGATAAAAAACTTCTGCAGCGATCCTTTCATCTGCGTATTCCCTCTTGGCACAACAGTAGGTCCTCGCACGACCAGTTTCAAAAACGGATCTGAAGGCTCTAGAAGACTTCTGCAGACTTCTGTCCATGTCTGATGGCTGTACATCAAGGGTTGTAGATATCTGTAACGTAAATTACACGCCAACTTTTGTGGCCATGAACAATCTCCGATAAAGGGCCAGAAATGAAGAGCTAGAGAATGTGTAGTCTTGCCCAGTCTAGGGAAGGATGAAATTTGTGGGCTCAATCATAAATGGGACCTTCTTCAGGTCCTCTGACGTTCTACTATCTGGGTCCCTTAGCTGCCGTATACATGCTGCTCACCCAAAGTGCCGACACGCGACTCTTTAAGCAAAGCATGAAATGTCTCAGATCGTCTCAGCTTTTCGCTCCAAGCATGGCAATTTCTACTAGTATTTTGTGAAAGGCTTGTGGTTTAGAGAAGAATGGCGCATGGTCACTGCCCTTTACTTTGAAGGACTTCTCCGGAGGATTAGACTGCAAAACAGCTTCCTGGTTTGCTCCAGGTAACGCGTTGTCTTCCGTTGTCCCTATGAAGAATCGTCGCACACTCCCATAATTTTCACTAGTAAGAGTCAGCTTCTCCATCAAAGGGGCAAATGGCACCGGTCGAATTGACACAGTCGCCAGTGCTATATCCTGCACACGTTGGTAATTCATAGAGTAAATCAGGCATTGTGGAAACTGACCGTTAAGAATTAACAGTCAACAGTCCTGAAAATGTTCCCGAATCGTAGCATGGCAATGCGCCTTCTGTTGTTCCGTAACTAAAAGCTACATTCTCATACGCGATCGTACAGAGGAGCAAACGCCCACAGATAAACAGATGTAACTCCGCCGTCATCGGACGATTTTTTTATCAGAATCAAATTTCGTCCAAGAAATGAAGGGGGAAAATACGAACCTTTGCGGGACTCGCGTTGTAAAAGACGTCTCTGATGAGATTTTTGTCTACTTCTAAAGCTGTTGGAGCGCTTGTATTCCCATTCGCATAAATAAAGGATTGAGCTTTCTGTAGCAAGTCATCTCCAGATCCCGGCTGCAAGTATCATCATTCAAACATCAATCTCAGAACATTTCGCACACCTTTCAAGAGGAATGCAGCCATCTAGTACTACGAGTCTGCCATTCTAGAAGGACTCGGGATACCCCGAAGATAGAGCTGGAACAAAAAGTGGTACTACATTCTTGAATCAAAACAATATACCTGTGAAGCAAAAACGTCAAATGCTCTTTGTCCGTTGATAACCATGGCTGCAGCTACAAAAATGGCTTTGGCAATTTTTTTGGGATGCTGTTCCATGGCGTACGATATGCAAGCTCCGCCCACATTGTGTCCCACTAAGATTACCTTCACAATCAATCCACCATGGGCAGATCAAAACATGTTTCGCAGATTACTGAACACAGTTAGCACGTAAAGCTCTATGTATATACTAGTACTATCTTCACTAGTTCTGTCGTCCATCTTCCGAAATTACGTGTGGTTTTCCACACCACTTTAACCACTGAAGGTTTAAGTATAAATTGTTTCCTCATGCTTTGTGACTGCATCTAGCAATTGCCCGCTGAATGGACAGACGCATGCTGGCAACCTGAGGAACTAACCTTGTCATTTTCACTCAGATTTTCCAAAAATTCGAAGAGGGGCTTGACGTAATGCGCTAAACTCGTAATTGTGTTCGGATCTGTGTAATCGCGTCCAGATCCAGTCAGGTCGATTGCAGATGCAGTGAAACCAGCTTCTTCCAGAAGTGCAATTGTCTTGTACCAACACCATGCACCGTGACCCCCTCCATGGACCAGCACGAAATGCTTGGTTTCTAGGCTCTGTAAGACCTTTTCGTCCTGGTAAAACAAAGCATGGATTTAAGTACAAGCAAGAGAGTATGTTCTAGGTGAAACAGCCTCACTGTAAAATCTTTAGAGAAAAACGCAAACAAATGCGTTGGAAGAAAAATCAATGCAATTGCCAAGAAAACCAAAATCAGTGTCATTACATGCTCGTTAGAAAGAACTGTTATGGATTACGTATGACGGACACAAAAGGCTTGCTACATATAGCACACAGCGGAAAAAACAGTCGCTGTGAACGAGAACAAGGGTGCCACGATTGTCTCTAAAAGGGCTGCCATTTACTGGACTGGAAAGACTGAATAAAGAAACAATTCTCTAATCAAAATCAACTAGCCTGATCAAAGTTGAAGCTGAAAGCAAATAGCCAAGGACACTAAACAAGAATTTTTCCTTGAGAAATCGTTGAGGGATAAAGTTTCCGTGTCATGAGGGAGCAGTAGTTCGAAGGAGTATCGATGGTAAAAGAGCTTATTGACACTAGAACTACTGATACCACACTTGCAGCATTGATGATTCATCTGTGCTTGAAGGGCCTGTCTGTTGTGAGGAAACGTTACCGTTGATCGGCGTGCAACACGAAGCGCTAGTGCAGAGAGAAGTAAACAGAGGCCACATCACACGGTTGAAATACACGCGAAGTCATAAATCTTTTAGGTCCAGAATTTCGAAGAGAACGGTCTTCGATAAATTATTATCTTAACACAAATAATACAGTTGTGCGACATCCCTCAGAATTGCTATGTAGTGCCTTGACTAGAGTTCAATGTGCTGTGAAGCAACTTATGCTGCACCCTCCTTGACAAGCGGTTATCGGCTTTTATTACGGAGCCCGCCCACGACGAGAACTTGAGCTGCATGTGTTATTACACACTCACATTCGATCATCGACAGGAAGTAGAAGACGCAGGTTGAAATTATTCGACACTTTTCATTCGGACTCACTCCTTGTGCCTCCGGGACATACGGACTGATAAGTTCAAACAGCTGAATAATTCTTTCAAATTAACAGGTTTCAGATATCCGGATCCTTAAAATAACCCTAAATACCCGGTCAATTCTTACGGCTTAGAAGGCTAATTTCACGAGAACAACGCTGGAAGAGAGCACCATCCTGCATGTCAACAGAGAGAAAAGCGTCGAACGAGGAAGTTTCAACGGTAAGAGCTGACACAAACGGAAATTCTTTCCATAAAAAAAAGAGCGCCAGAAACGAGAAAAGAAAGCCCCCAAGCCTCAAATCAGTTCAATAAGACAAGCTTTTCGAAATCAGCGAGGTACTGACGAAGAAACCCTGCGCTAGAAACCTGATAAGACAAAACTAATGACCTCCCCGTACAAGATGATCATCTGACCCGCACAATATAGTTCAGATAGAAACACAAACGCTGTTCAACAGCGCAGCAAGGCTTGAGAAAACCCACCAAAGCTCCGTTGATTAGCTGCTGAGGATGGACGACAGGATCGGTGATGGAACGAGCTCGAGTACTAGCACTGCGCGGCAGCTTGCCACTGCTCGGAGGAAGCGGTCCTGGAGCCATGCGCTGCGACATGGTGCGCTCGAGCCGCATCTGAGCCTTTTGGTGCTGCTGCAGAGCTAGTGCCAGAGCCTGTTGCTGGATCACCTCTTCTTCCAGCGATCCCTTCCTTACGCCTTTGATTTTCCCCCGATGATGACTATTATTATTAGTCTTCTTCCCTCCCTTCTTCGTGGTCATGCCTTTCGCCATGCAAGCTATTTGGTTGCCCATCTTGAAGCGGCAGTCTTGCACTACACCGGCTTCTCTTTCGCCGCAGCTCTCGACTCAATTCTCTCTCGTACAAAACCGACCTCCGTCCGAGCAACTAGTCTCGCCCGTCGTCCACTACTCACACGCCTCTCTTGCCCACCTCCACTCCCCTCTCCAATGCTTCGCTCCAACAACAAGCCAACGCCCCATCTCGTTCTCCGATCCCCCACTCCCGGCCTCCAGCACCACCATGACTCTCCTCCCTAGTGCTCATCCATCCAATTTCACCGTCTGCTATCTCACTCTCCCTTCTCGCCCACCCGCCAGTCAGTCAGTTACTCCAGTCAAACCTCAACAACAAAATTCCTCGAAGTTCTGATGCGGCAGCAGCTGCAGCAGCTAGCCAGCTTTCAGTCCAGCTCGGCCCCCGATCAAAGTCGTCTCGAAAGCTTCTTCCTTCCACGGAATGATGACAACGACACCCTTCTTCTCTCAGCGGTCCAGCGCTCTCACTTTTATCGGAGAGAGTAGAAAGAGACAGGAACCAAAACCCAGGGGCGACAACAGACTCAGACACTCCCTGAGAGACAGGAAGAAGGAGAAGAGAGTGGAAGAAATGCAAGAGGAGGGCAAAGGAGAGAAGGAGAGGCAGCAGCAGCAGCGGCGGCAGGAGCGGCAGGCGCGCCAGAGCTGAGGAGAGCAGCGGCAGCAGCGGCAGGCAGCTGGTGAGTGCAGCTGCCGGGTGGTGGTGGTGGTAGGCAGACGCAATGCGAAAGGCGATAGGGGAAAAGACACTTCATACAGGGACTCGGAGACCAATGAATTCCATTACAAGAGCAGGCAGCCTACGGAATCTAGCTCTTGTACGGCATTCTCGCATCGGGAAAACTCGGGACTGGAACAAGTGAATTCAGAACTCCATGTAAGAGCGCACTCGCTTTCGCTTTCGCTTTCGCTTTCTCGCTCGCTAGCTACCTCCGGGGGGAAGGAGTTTGAACGGGGCAAATAAATTTTTCCACCAAACTAACCATTTCAAATCAATTATAAAATTCAGGCTCCCGGCGAAAAGGTCCGAGCTGGAGCTCCGAAGCGAGGAGTTATTGCATCACATGAGTGGACAAAGTTCTCCTTTCACTGCCCATCACCCTTTCCGATGCAGGCGCCCGGGAAACCGCCCGACGCCCACTGTCACGTGCCGTATAAGAACAAACTCGGGCCCGCTTTCTTCTGCCCTCAATTCCGACTGTGCCTGAGTTTTCGGCGATTCTGCATTATTCCCTGCCTCCCGTCTACGTGCTACAGTGACCGGTAGGCATCCCCGAGTCTCGACTTCCATCACGGATTGGCGAATTCGCGAGAAAATCACGCGCTCGCTTCATGCATTTTTGTCACGGAAACTCCGAGTCCGTCGCCCCACCAAGCAGTTCAGACGACCGCGATGTCCACCGAATACCGGGCGGCAGTCCGAGAAGCCGCTCCCGGGAGACGTGTCGGCCTGCGATTCGTTGCCTTAAAGCCTGGGGCATAGTTTCCCATGCAGCCTAGTTTTGAAAACGTTCTTGGAGACTGTACGATGGGATTCGGATCACAGAAACTCCGAGAGATAATGTTCTTGTAAGAGGGAGGGGCCATTCAATGCGAGGAGGCCACATTACTTCGCAGAAGTTATGATGCGAACATGATCTACCACCTAATTGTGTGTTGTGGTGTCGGCCCTCTCCACTCGACGTGATCACTAAGCTCAGAATAAACCCATTAAATATCCTTTTCAAAACGTAATTAGCCAAATTACGTGCTCGCATGTTGGTTCAAGACACAACGAAGTCGGTATCAATGGCTGTACTTCGCGCGGAAGCCGTCCCACCTGTACCTCTACTCTACGAAGGAACCGGGTGACTGTCATAAAGCGACACTTATATCTCAACGGAGAGGGTTTGACCGAAGGTCAAGCTACCAAATACGACCGCGCTGCGTATGAAGACTCGCCCGTGAGTCAAGTTATTACCGGTAGGTATTTTGAGTAACTCGAGTTTGGTATACTGTATATACGTATCACTCTCTACAGAGGCAAGTCGGATTCTGTGCTTAAATACTCTTGATTAAACTAAACCTGGATCGGGGGTTTTTCAAAATCATGGGGAAAGTAGAGACTGTCCAGATGTTTCCCTGATTGGAAGTGTTGTAAGGTCAACAATATTATCTGTTCAGAGAAGAGCTCCATGTCTCCATGTCCCCATGTAGAGCTCCCCTTCTGGAGCCATTTGTTTCGAGGGAAGAACTTAATTTAGGAGTCCTGTATGAGGTCTCACGTGCAGTTCCACCTTTGTCTTGTCGTTTTCGCCTCGCGTGTAACCGTTTTCAACTTTGTCTCTTATTTGCTCCTTGTGCTTTGCTGGACTCTTGCCCTCCTTTTCACTGCCAAATTAGGTCGTTTCGTTCTCCCGTCTCCTTCACATACCGTTTCGAGGTTCAGCCTCGTTCGGCCTGACACAGCCAGCGGTACTTACTTCTTCGGCTTCCCGGCACTCTGAAATTAGTGCCTCTTTAGTTGCGAGCACTTGGTGGTTAGGCACTGGAGACCTAGGCAGAAATCTCACATGGTTGCAGCAAATTTCGTTTTATCATTAACATTTCCTTGCATGGGTCGATGCGGGGGAAATTAGATTTACTGGCTCAGCCCCGCCATGAACTGCAGAGCTTAAAAAGCACATTGCAAACTCATAATGTTTCTCATAATTACTTCATCTATCGCTGACATGCATAAGTCGGTGGAAAGAATGTTAAAGGTGACAGTAGCCAGTTTATACGTTCTTATGGAGCTCAAGCTATACCTGGGTAGACGAAGAACACTTGTAACACACAAGCTTCTATATCACTAAGGGAAAAAGTGCACGTTAATGAGAAGTAATACAAACATAAGCCTAAACACTAGCTAAAATCACCCACTGTGTTGGAATGCCTTATAACTCTCAAGGAAGGAAGAAATATGAGTAGATGATACGTGACACAACTTATCAATGAGTGAACAGTATGTGACATAAATTATGAAGCACGTAGTTAGATGTTGACTATGACATTGCTCCGTATGAATATAGCCTTTATAAAAGAAAAACAACCACAAGTTGTACATTTCTGTCTCAATCAGGTAAATATAGTCTATACGTATGTGGAATGTTACATTACGTTATAAAGTAAAGAGTGATTTATCAATATCTTAATTATCACCGTCTGCATAAAAATATTATCATATTGATTCAATTATGAAGTTCATGTTTAAGTCCAAGGCAGCGTATTTTAACGAATTTAGATAGCGAATGAACGTGATGATGGACTACATGGCCTGTGTGCTAAAGAATTTGGGTGGAACAAACGCGCATGATATCCAGCTCACTTCATTTACGTTTGGTTTGAGTCGGTTCAAACGAAAGATTAAGTGAATATCACGTAGGAGTAGTACATGCAGAAGACAAATTCTCATAAACCTCTCTGGCATAAAGAAAAGTGGCATAATCGCACAAAGAAAGAATTCTCATAATTCATTCTCTGTCATGAAGAATAAAAGATGAAAATGATTAGATACACGGAAAGTTATGTCCATCTTACTCAAAGCGTCATGTCTTTTAAGATGCATAACGAGAAGCATGTGCTTTTATGATTGTACGTTACAAGCCTGCTACAATAAAATATATGAGATATTATTATTCACCTCATGCCATATCCTCGGTGAATGTCGAGTAAATATGTTAGTATCAGTAGTAATCAACATAAAACTCACTAAATTTTCATATAATATATACACCCAACGAGTGAAACTTTCATCTTATTCTACGCAAAGGATGAATATATTACAAATCTTATTATTAATTAAGATATAAAGAATATATGCAAGAAAAATATAAAGTGCACAATGTTCACACCTGACAAATTCTCCTTGGATGGACATAAAAAAATTCGAATAACATGGGTGAAAATAGAATTTTAGGCTATAATTTTTCAATAAAAACTGAACATAAATAAAACACGTATTAGCTGAACCCTTTTTCCCCAAGAAAAAACTCTCTTTCAGATCCTGTTGTTGTTTTGGTCGTTGACGTTCATATGTCCTATGAACAGACTATATAGTCATATAGTCTGTACATTGAGGGGGACTTCAAGTTGCTAAACCTCCTGCATTAAGGTGGAACTGAAGGATTGGAAAATATCGTACATTCTTGTTTTACACACGCTTGTCGCCTACGTGTACATTTGCTCGACGTCTGTTGGGCTAGCTCTAGAGGCTGACCAGGAAATGTCCACCAAGAAAAATACACTAGATATTTAACATGAACTAACTTTTTACCTTAAAAATCTCCCAACCTCTTCACTGATCTTTGCGCATGGAGTTTCACTGGAATGCCGCGTCAAATTCTTCAAGCAATACTTCAAATAAATAACCAATTCGCCTAGCATACATAAAACCTTCAGTTGGAAATTTGCTCTAAAAAGAAGAAGATGTCGCTCATGAGGAAGCTTCTATATATCCTGATGTGTTCCTATGCTGTAGCTTGTGGAACCTCCATATCTGAGAAGTGGAATAGCAGACTCTTTCATTCACATATGATGGGTATATACCGATCTGAATTCAACAAAACGGGTAATTAGTTGTTTATAATTTTCACGGAAAGACATCTCTTAGAACTAACTTGAAGCATATCAACAAATTATAGAAAGAAAAATTGTGTGTGGGTTTAAGGTTTAATGGGTAAACCCTAAAAACCCTACAATATGGATAGGTAGGGTGGAAGTTAAAAAAAAATTATTATGAAGCTTGATTTACACAATCTATACAATCTTTATCTGTTAGAGTTAAACACATTTTGTTTGTGAGAAAAAACCAGATATTTCTTTCTATTTTAAAATTATGTAATAAAAAATGTGTTATCGTTCTTATAATCTATAACCAAGAAAAAAAAGTAGCCAAAAAATGAATCTCAATGAAATAAAAATATTTTAAGGGTAAAATTGTCAGATTTCAAGACATATTATATATAAATATATATATATATATACAGCAACTCAATTTTTCTCTTCCAAATATCTCATAGAATATCATATATAATTTTAAAAATACTGATTTTGATTTATACTTGTCTTTTATATGATTTTGAAAAAAAATAGACTAATCACTGATTTGCACTTTTCTCTTTTCATCTAATAAAAAACCAATTTTTGAGATTTTCAAACTTCGTTCATCATGTTTATCATTCTCTTTATATGTGTACAAGAAAAGTCAATCAAGTTCATTGTTAATATTAAATAGGCATTTTACATTGATAAATTAGTAAGATTGATGGTTCTCTCACTCTTCAAGATTATAATCTAAAATCCAGTCTATGATTGAAATCTAACATTTATAAGTTGTAAGAATAATGATTTTTTAAATTTTGGTTAGATTTTTCAATTATATATTTTATCAATCTGAATCCATTAAATTAATAAAAAATCTGATATTATATTATTTCAGTTTTAACAAATCAAACCGAATTTTGCCATGCTCATCATCACAAAACTTGAAACATAATTTAAAACTCACAAACGTATTCATTTTGTGGAAGTGTGAATATATATAGACTATCACTTGCAAAATTGCGAACTCCTATTTGCCAAAATCAAACTCAAATTTAATTACAAAATAG